TCAAAGGAGGATCTTCATGGCCCCACCATTCTTTGCCAAACAAAGCTGTTAACTCATTTGCTCCCTGCATCAGCCTTACAAGGAGTTGACTGTGGGATCTTCTGTTCATGTAAAAGATGTGTAAAAGATGTTTGTCTTGTTTGCTACTGCATTTAATCTTTTACCTAAAAGAAGGTGGATCTTTAGCTACTTTTCCAGCTCTTTGAGCTATTAAGTCCTTTATGATTTGTGTTGAATTTGAATATAGAGCTTCAGACAATTTAAACTCATTTAAAAGGAAACAGGGGAAGGAAACAAGGTTAAATGGAAAATGAAAGTCCAGAAAACAACAACAAAATAACAAACTGCAGGACAGTTCTGGATTCTGAACTATACCCTCCAAGTTTATCAGTTCTTCTAACCAGATGAACTAATCTAAGCCATACAGAAAATCAACATTTGTATGAAATCTCAGACTGTTCCTGATATCCACTGACTTATAAATGGGTTGTTGTAGTGTTTCAGGTTCATGGGGTGCTATAAAAGGCTTTTCAAATCAAATCAAATCAAATCCAGGCAGCCTCTCTAGAGGCTCTAGGGAAAGTGCCATCTGGCCTTCCTTCCTTTTAGCAGCCTCTCTTTATTACTGATAAGATCATTCATATTCTTGAGACTATGAAGCCACCATTAAGAAAGTTCAGCCTTCCTAACTAGCAAAGCAAGTTTTTGTCATTGCCCTTGATCAACTGGAATTGCTCTCTTGGATGTCTGTTCATTCAAACCTAGCTGAATATCCTTTTAAATTCCCTTTTTCCTGAATTTTTTCAAACACAGTCCTCATTCAGAAAGAGGACTTAAGCTTTCACTCTGCACTTTGTAGTAAAAAGGATCTCACTTGAGAAAGAAAAGTATTGTAATTCAGAAAAATGTTATTATAGTAATAGCACTTGTACAGTCCTTTACATCTCCAAAGCCCTGTGCCAGCTAATTTATTAATTATTCTAAATATACACTTTTCTTCATTTGTACTTACGAAACTCTATTTAAAAACTGCTCTTAAATGGGATTTCAAGTGTGCTACATTGAAAGAAATTAACTTCTCCATTGCCTTGCATGGCAATTAAATTCATTTACGTTGTCACTGTTGTATATTTTGCAATGCACAATGTATTTAAGTTATAACACTGAAATCTGTCTGACTCAATGTGTGGTACTGTTTTACTGTATATTTATCAAAGGACAAATTCTCATTGAATTCAGACCACTGACAATACAGCAGTTGTGAAACTTGTAAATCCTCTATGGTCTCAGCTGAAATTAAAAGTTTGATAGGTTTCTGTATGCAAAAGGAACAATGACTCTACCTCTCTCTACTACCCTTCAGAGTGTATAGGTGTGGAAATTCCCTGTAACTAGGGATTTGCCTAATCAAATGTAGTAAAAGACCTTTACAAATAGGCTGAGCTGATTTTGATTTGAAAAGTAGGTAGGTCTCAGAATTAACTAAGCTCATACAGATTTCATAGTAATTCTTAACTGGAATAGGGAGAGAGAGCTAAGTTAGTGCCTTTGCTGGGAGGAAGGTGGGCAGTAACTTGCAGCTCTTGAGCTTCTGAGTTTTGTCCTATAAGGGGCCCAGGAGAAGCTTCACTATTGCCAAGTGATGTAGACTGAAGCAGAGCAATGGGTTGAGCCTGAGATGAAAGGAGAAACATCTATAAGAAACAAAATGTTTTTACAACCTCCAATCATTGGGGACCATAGGTTTCTTGTTATTACCATTCTTCTGGATGATATCTGATAAATGCCCAGTCCTTTTTTAAATTCTGATGGGCTCTTTGCTTTAGAAATACTCTCTAACAGTGCCAGCAACAGGCTATCTGGTGAAAGCCAGGGCAAGAGTGTATCCAGCATACGTCTGACAAGAAATCAGTAAAGAAATTGAAGAGCCAAATTGCAAAATGCAAGACACTGAATAAATACCTCTTTAGTTTGCAAGATACCTTCTTAGGCTACCTGGCAAGGATTACTGCCCAGAGTACTGATCATCCATACCATCTGGTGTAGCCTGGAAATTACCTCTATTGGTGCACATTTATTCACCCGGAACTCCAGGTCCATGCTGTGGTGATCCCGGAGATCTAGTTTTGCTTCATTGAGATGCGAGTTAGCAGTACTAGCTAATTTGTGATCTTGATAGTATCAAATCTGCCTGTAGTTATTCTTAATTTGAAGTTACGTTAGCTTCTTCTAGGGTGGAAAAGGAAACTGCACTTGTTATTCCATCTGAATGCTCTGATTTTTCCCCAGCGATCTGTATGCTCATTTTAGATAGCAAATAAGGTGTCTATGAAGAGTAGTCAATATAGTCCATGTGACATGGAAGAAAGAAGTAATGTTTTGTTAGAAAATGCGAACAATTTGGGGTTGGGGTTTTTTTTATTATTTTTAGATAATTGCTAGTTTTCAGCTTGAAGCCAAGAACATCAAAGTCAATACCAAATGTGTTTGTTACAAATGCCTTAAAAATACATACTAGAGATATATATGTAGGTATACAGACATCTGGCAGCCATGTGGGATTTTCACACACCTGTCAGTGAAGTGAGTAATTTTGAATGTGAAATCTCACATTCTGCACCAGAATGTATGAACAGAGCCCTGAGGACATGGGTTGTGTGTTGAGTATATCAAATCACTTCGAAGGCAGCACTTTTACAGAGCACCACGTTGCTGGATATTATGGCAGTATCAGCTATATTGCCCATGGAAAGGTATCATGGAAGCCAGGATATCTAATTAAAAATTGCAAGTAAGTGTGAAACAGGGTAGCAATTTTTCTTGGATTGTGGCTCTTATGTAATACCGCAGACTGTGGTTTATGCATGCCACCTACACACAGCTAAGAAATATTGCTGTGTCTTATATTACTGGGACATTGGTCACTTTTACAAACGTGTTCTTCAGTAAATGTGAGCTGAATTTTAGCATGAATGGTATGTTGGTCAAAAAGATTGAACCAAGCATTGCTTGTGTCTTAGTCACACTGCACCAAATTATTATAAGGCAGTGTCATGTTTACACAGATCCTTGGGAAGCCTCTTCAAACCTGAGTAGTTAAGGCAAAACAAAAAGGAAAATAGGCCATTCTGGCACATATGGTTTGAAACTGCCTCTTATAAAAAATAGGTCAGAAAGCCCTAATTAGTGCACAAGACAACAAACTGTTGTAATTGTGCCATTTTAGGGAACCTCCATGATGTGCACGTGAAATATGTAAACCCCTGAGAATAGCATTTGGCTCCAAAATCCAAATCCAGTGCCACAGATCTTTTTGCTTCTTCTTAATGAGCCAGGGTCTATCATTTGGAATATTTTGTGCCCATATTGAATTATTCTCAGTCAGCATCACTGGAGAATCCAGTTACTGGATCTCAGCTGCCCTTTCCTCTAAAACAGAGGAAAGTTACTCTTATTATGTCCTGATATACCTCCCCTACATTTTGCCACCCAGCTCTAGACAGCTTTTCTTTCATACAGTCTGCTAATAAGAGCCACTAGCACATGCAGAAGCATTGCTCAAGCCTCTGGCCTTTAGTGATTTTTTTCTTGGATAGTAAAGGTGCTGAACACAAAGAGACAAATGAGGTATGGGGTGGAACAAGCAGCTGAGAACAGGAGAAAAGGAATATATATAGGACTTGCTTTTGCTATGCATGAAATGCAACACCCTGTTCCCACATTGTGACGCACATCAGTCGGTCCAGATGGTGAGAAGGGTTGGGTTTCTGCCTGGGGCTGCCGGCGCAAGCTTCATTTGCATTCCTCAGCCCAGTTGTTCATGGAAAAGCATCCAGGCAATGCACAACCGCTCACACAACTGTGCTCACCTTCCCAAGCATAATCTTTCTTCATGGTACCAGAAAACTGGGAGAGTTTTACAGGCAGGGGGAATGAAAGGAGCTGAATCAAGTGTTCAAGCTCCAACTGGAACCCCCTGAGAATCATCACCAGTGATGTAGGAATCATCTTGAATAAAGTGCCCATTCCCACTCAGCACTCACACAAATAGCATTGAGTTTGTGTAATACAAATAGAAAATTCCTAGAGCTCAACTCTGAAGGAGCAGCATCTGCTCCATTGTAAAAAATTGCCATACAAACCCTTTTCCAGTGGCTGATCCCTGACTGGGTTTTACCATTACCATAACCAGTTTTGCTTGTTAGGGGCTAATTGTGAGTGTTAATTTGTGGCATGTGCAACAATTGTGATTGTTATTGCTGTAATTAATCCCATTTGAAAATGTTTAGTTTAATTGATTGTATTACTGGATCTAAGGTTTAGCTCTTTGGTTCCATTATTTTCTATTTATACATTGACTTTAAAAACAATGCAAGCATATGGGGAAAAGGTAGCATTAGAGTAGTGAAGAGCCTTACAAATGCATATTTATAACTTAGAGGGTGTTCCTAAAACCTATCAGCATTTTAAAGAGGATTTTAAAACATACACAGAATTTCACCTAACAGCTATATTGCTTTTAAGTCATACTGCCTGGAGTAATGCTTTTAGGTTATCCCTGCTAATGTCCCTGGAATTTGCCTGAATAATTTCCATTCATGATAGTAGAAGTTACGAACCCTGTGTTAGTCACTAAACAAGAACTGTATCTTTAAGAAGGGAAGATTTTATGCAGATTTGAAAAAAAAGAAAATAATGAAAATTGTTATCTCGAGGATGTTGAAGCTACATATACTACTGTATTATGAAACGTTTAAGTGAAGAATTTATATTGGTAGATGGTTTCTTCTCCAAGTTTTGCCTCTCCCCCAAGTGCAGTTGATCATTCCACCTTAACAAGGTGCAGTGATTGACAGGTAGAGACGTTGCACAGAGCAGAAGGTGGGAGTGTGCTCTATTGGTTTGTGCTTGTACATCCTGAGCACCAATTACTGTCACTGCTGCCAGCACTGATGTGTTTATCAGGATGAGTTATAGCAGAATATATGTACACAGGCAGTGTGTATGCTGGATGACCACCCCCTGTGATGTAAAATATGAGAGTCTGGGAGCTACCGTTTTATAATTCATCAGGTTCAGCAACTGAATGTTGTTGGTTGGCTTAGTTATAAAGGCAAGTGTGAACCGAACAGCAGACAGGAACATCTCACATTAAGAATCCTACGAAGCTGCGTTTGGTGACTGGGCTCTGCTTTTGTTCAAGTGAATTCAGTCCTCGGTGAGTGATGGGGGTTCTGTTGAACTAAAGCTGTTATTATATAAGCTGGGGAAACCTGCCTGCTAGTTTTATGTGTATTTTGCTGCTGCAAGTCCTTGTCTGTGGTTGTTTTTAGATTTTGCAATATTTTCAGTTGTGTACGTTACTGGCAGAAAACGAGATGAAAAGAAAAATGCAATGATGAATTATTCACCATCGTGCTGCGAGGATCTCTTTCCTAGCTAAAGTTACTTTCCTTTAGTGAGTATGTTGCGGGTTCAAAGAAGAGACGAAACAGCAAATATACCTGATATTAAATTGCTTTTATTAGCAGTTAAAGAGAATGATAGCTGTGGTTGTTGTACCAAGAGGAAGGAAAAGCAAATATCAGAAGCATTTACAGATTCTTTGCTTTTTTGTACATGTGGCTTTTCAGATGCAGCATTAAATCTATTGTGTGCAGTGAGAGGCTGCAAGGAATTTGGATTGTAGAGCTTTTTAATTAGATAATCAGTAAACTGCTAGCTTCTCTCTGGGTTTTTTTGGGGGGTAATGTGCTTAGTATCACATTAAAATGAATGATTCCCCATCTTGCATAACAACAGTGCTGAAATATGTGTAAGATGAAAGGCAAAGGGAGACTTTGAAACAAACTGTGGGAACATGATATAGCACTGCTAGGCAGGGAAAGGTATATTTCCTAGAATATCTGCGTGACTTTTTGAATTTCACTAGCTTTAGATTATTTGCTCTAATTATCACTTGCTTCTTTTGGTCCTCTCTATATATTCAAGCAAGCTCCCTTAATATGTCAACATCATCTTGCCAGTAACCTTTAAAGATCAGTAAGCCAGCAATTTTTTGTTGCTGTTTTAATCAGAAAGGAATTGAAAAGCAGAGTTTATGAAACTGAAATATTAACATTGCTGTACAATACCTATATCCCTCCTCAGAAGAGGCAAGTGGTCACAAGTAACAATTTTACTTTTCCCTTTGTCAGCAGCAGTATTATAGTCATTGTTTCTGCCTCTTTGTGCCAGTTGGTTTTTTGTTCTCTGTGGGTTTGAAGAGGCAAGTTTGTTGTATCAAAATATCAAGAGGGCTTGGCAGAACAGCACCTGTTGTCTTATTGCTGTTTTATTAATAATTGGAGTGAGACATTCTCTTCTAGAGACCTCTCACCTGGTATCAGTCCAAACTGTTTACTCTGTAGTGATTTAAACTTGTATAGTGTCTTTTCACTTAGAAATAATCTATTCTGTGAGTTATCTGTGAAGTGTCAAAGCCACAGAACTGAGTCTGGTTTAATTAATAAGGCATCTCATTTTTGCATCATTTTATATTTAAAGAGAAAGGCTATTGGCAAAGTAACCTTTGCCACAGACTTCCTTTGCAGAACAGATTTGCAGTTAGTCTTTATAAGCCATAAATTTGAAAAAAATCAGATTGTTTTGCGACAATCATTTCTTGGCAGCCTAACAGACTAGAGCATATTTCTAGGAAAGAGTATATACCTTTGTCAGCAGTGCTTTATTTAAGAGTATTTCACTGCTTTTTATGCATTCAGATCTATTTTCAGTGACCCCTGTGCTAGCAAATGGATTTCTTGAAGTGTGAGCTTCTGGCTTTGCAAGTTCTCCTCCTTTCAGAAATCTGTGATACTGCATCCATCTGTCTAGGCATTTATATTGCATGCATCACAATGGTGTAATCTCAGCAATCTGAACATTAACCATGTAAATGTATGTACTGTAACTGAGGAAGTATAAATTGGGACAGGAAAAGCAACCCTAAAAGGAGAAAGTTATGATATAGGCATATGGACTCTTGTGGGCACCAGAGATCCAGACTCACTATTTGTTATTACACAATAAATTAAGCTAACAACTAGTTCAGTCTCCAGGCAGTGGTGTGAAGGCTTGGACGCAGATGAGAGCAGCTTCTCAAAGTTCAGCCCAGATAAGATCAAGGAAAATAGCCAGAGAATGTGGCAAAAATCACGTTATCCTGGCTGCATGCTTCTTGCTCCTTTGTGGTTATAGTCTAGGAGGGATGCTGAAGTAAAAACAACAGTGACTAAGAATTTTATTTTAAAACACGTCTATCCTGGAGATCACAGTTGTTTTAACTGGATAATAGTTTGTTACTGTGATTCATGTCTCCAACCTGGCTGTAAGTGATGGCATTGCTCTCTATGGAGCTCTGTCTTAAATACCCTTAGTTACCAGGGCTGGTCCAGGTAACAGCTGTCTGTGTGGTTAGTGCTACATCCTCCTGGAACCACACTGCACCAAGAAGTATGTTGGCTTCCTGTTCGTTTCTGAATAGAAGTAATATTTTAGGATTGATGCATGGCACTCTCGAGTAGCAGAAATCTGGTCTCCAAGAAGAATCTTTCTCAGCTTTTGCCTTTTGGTTACAGATGAAACCAACCAAGGCACCTATGTTCAGATTATCTTTTGTGTAAAATATAGATGCCCAGGGAAAAACATCTTAGATTAAAGTCCTTAGCTCAGGAATTGATCTTTTTTTCTTTAGTCTGAAATACCTCAGGTGTACTGACCTTGTGATTTGTTGTTGAGTCCCATGGTGGTTGACATTTTTGGTGAAAGAAGAGTATTGGATTACACAGTATTAATCTTTGGAGAGTTATTACCTGGTTTGCAGTAATTATAGCTAATGTGTGACTGTGTAGTTGTGTGACTGTGCTCTTAATGTCAAAAGTGATTGGAGATTTCAGCTGGGGTGTGTAAACTCAAATGCTTGTGTGCCCGTCACATTTCTATTTTTCTCTTTCGAGTACACAGACTATAGTTTTAAATAGATACATTTAAAATACTGAGTCTCAAGTACAGAAATCCCTAGGGCATAGAATTGAAAACTTTTAACTATATATTAACTCTCTTCTTACTTTTTATTGAAGAGACTGACAAAGTGACATTGTGTGCTATTTTGCAGCATTCTCAGGTTTGAATTCAGTAGTCAAGATGGGTGTGAAACAAAGCCATACAGACACTGGCAGTCATAGTGATGTGCTTTCAGGGAGAGGTTCTTCAGTGGAAAATGGGTTTAAATTATAGGTTAGAAATGTAGGATTCTCAATGTTGGGGGTAGCCAACATAACTTTATGGCAGGTAAGAGATAGAACATAGTAAAGGGTGTCAATGTGTCAGTGAAAACAGTTGATGGGGTTTGTATGTTCAGATACATAGCCAGAAAAGCTCCATTTTAAAGGATTATCAAACACTCAGTGAATTACAGGAGCAAATTTGACAACTGAAGCAGAGAGCCTGTTCATAAACACAGCGTGGCCTTTGATGTTGGTCTGTTCTTTGTGCTGTGGGTGAAATACACACAAAGTCCTAATCCTGCGTGAAAACAGTTGATGGGGTTTGTATGTTCAGATACATAGCCAGAAAAGCTCCATTTTAAAGGATTATCAAACACTCAGTGAATTACAGGAGCAAATTTGACAACTGAAGCAGAGAGCCTGTTCATAAACACAGCGTGGCCTTTGATGTTGGTCTGTTCTTTGTGCTGTGGGTGAAATACACACAAAGTCCTAATCCTGCCCTGCTAAAGCAGGAGAGGATATTAAAGTTATTAAACCAATTGAAGATTCACTTGTAAGCAAAATACATCTTAAAAATGCTAAATTCAATTTGTTTGTGGATTTTGTTGCTTGGTTTGTTTAGTGGCTCTCAGTATCTTGACATCTGCTAATATTTTAAAAAAACAAAAGGCAGAGGGGTAAAGGAACTTTTAATGTAAGTAGTCTATTCCGGGGTGGGGGGGACCAAACCAAAAAAAAAAGCACCTTCCTTGCTGTCAGATGGTTAAAAGACACACAGATCTGTCAGTCCTTGAAACCTCACAGATGAAAAGGTTGTGCTCCAGGGTAGTATCATAGAATCATAGAATCAACCGTGTTGGAAAAGACCTGGATGATCATCAAGTCCAACCCTACTGTGGTCACTAGACCATGGCACTAAGTGCCACATCCAGCCTCAGCTTGAAAACCTCCAGGGATGGTGAATCC